GCTGGGGTGAAGGACAAGAGTGGCAAAGATCAGTTATCCCCTGACAGCCTTGGAGCATTTGCTACCTGAACTGTAGCCCGAGAGGAGCGCTGCCAATGCCTCAGTAATTATTACAATCCAGCTTTCCTTGGGAAAGGAAGGTTCAGCCTTCACTGTCCCTTGCTCCGTTTCCAAGGTACTTCCCACCTGTCTCGATTTAATGAGACTGAAGTATTTTGCTAAGGAGGAGGAGTTATGAGGAAGACCAAACTCCTCTCTCTAAGCAATTGTAAAACCAGAATTAAGAGGCTCCAATTGAGGAAGTACAGAGAAAGAAAAAAAAATAACAGCCTTTTATTAAAGGATATATGTATATTGGCAGAACAACAAAAGAACACAAAAAACAACCACAGAATAATCCTGTACCCAAAAATGCCCTTCCAAAAGGAAACAGTTTGGAACTTTCTGCCTTTTGGCACCATTCTAACCATGGCCAGCAGACAGACTGTGCCAGAGACAGGCAGAAGAGAAGGTTCTGTGGAGACCTCATAGTGGTGTCGAGAAAAAGCAGCAGCAGTAAAACCCAAGAGCCACAGGTGCTGTTAAGCCGGTGTTTGTTATTTCAGCTCCACCACCTGCACTTCAGGCCTAGAGAAACACTCCACACACCAGACACACGGGACTGCAGGAGGAGGGGGGCTGGACCAAGCTCTGCAGGAAGGTTTGGGAATCCAATAGGGGCCATTTGCTGCAGGGAGGTTTGCAAAGGGAGGGAAGAACAGAATCCGGGAGCCTGCATGACCCGGCTTTGCCACAGAGATCAGGGAATCTTGACTTGCTTGGTCAGAGGGGATTTTATTAAATAGAATGCCTGGGGATAGAGGAGAAAAAAAGGAAGGAAATGGATAAATACCAGCCCTTTGCAGAACAGTGTGGCTTACATTCCTTGTCCAGATCTTGAAGAGATGCATTTAATGTAAGAACATTGAGAAGAAACAGGGTGAAAAAGGAGGAAAGTGATGAAAATGGGGAAGCAAGGCAAGGCAAGGGAAGGAGAGGCAATCCAAACAAAGCAAGGCAAGGCATGGCTCAGTTCTTAGACCTTGGTGAGAGAGATTAATCCCAGCTCTCCTCACGTGTGGGAGCTCATCCCCTGGTGCTCTGTCAGCACACAAAGATCTGGGAGACTGTCCAAGATCTGAATCATTCACCTTTGCATGGTGAGGGGTGAATCCCTTTGGAAATAAACCAGGCTTCTCTCTTCCAGTGAATCCAGAGGCTCTGATGCATCCATGGGGCATTTTAGCAAGACAGGGAAGCAACGGTTTATGCAAAAATAACCAGGGTTCCTAACTGCACTAAAAGAGTTTCATGCAAGCAGTGCCAGTGTGTCCTGCAGTTTTCAGTCATCCAGAGAAGAAAGTGGTTCAAAGAAGGTGATCTCCCCACCATACCTGATTTGCCTGACCAGGTCAGGCTTTTATAACTTCTGAGAGAGTCAGGGATCATTCAACATTCCCGACCTTGCTGCTCTGTCCCTGGGATTCCTGAGCCCTCACAAATCCAGCCCAGGGCCTGCTCGCTCCCATCCCAGCCCTGCAACACTCCCCAGTGCCCTGTGAGCCCTCACAGAGGCACAGCAATGCTCCTGCTGCCCGGGGAGCTGAGCCCTCCCTGTGCATTCCCCACCCTCCCAGAGCACAGAGACTCCCTGCAGGGCACACTGGCAGGGTGGGAGCTGCAAGGCAGCAGCTCCTCCATCGCAGGTGCCTTCTAATGAAGCCACAACTCAGCTGAAAAGGGGTTTCAGGAACTCAGGTTGGCCTGGGGAGGGAATATCCTCTCCCAGGCGAGGGCTGAGGATGCTGCTGTGGCTCTCAGCCAGCACTGACACCCATTGAGAAGTCTTCTTCAACTCGGAGGTGTCACTGATGACAACAGCAGGTCAGAAAACATCAAGTATCCAATTAGCCAAGGGACAAGCACAGAGCATTTTTTCAAGAGAAAAATCTGAATTCACACAAACACATGGTCCTAGTACTTTGCTTATTTTCCCAAGGTATTTGTGCCATTTTCCTGTGAGTTTTATCTGTCTCATAGAGGTGTCAATCAAAATTTCCAAGAGAAAATGAAAGTTTGCATGATTGTTTTGTAATCTACCAACTTCATAACATAAATATTCAGAAAAATTAAATATTCTTATTTAAAACCAAAACAAATCATTGAGATACCCACATTTACTTTAATTCAATGCTTTAACTCAAAGCAACCATTCACATGCAGATTATCCACATACCAGCAATCCCTGCTTGTTCCCAAATGTTATCAAAGATGCAGCCTCCTCTTTTTAACTCTCAGGTGTCTCCATGCTCCAAAGATCTCGGGTGGAGCCCAGGGCAGGCCAGCTTTGCTCCCAGGAACCTGCCAGAGCCCTTCTTAGGTGGTGCCAATCTCACAGGCAGCGTTTCCCAAAGCTGGAGGAAGCCTGAAAAGGAAGGAAACTTCCCCAAAGTGAGCCAGGCTTTTCTCAGCATCTGAGCTGCTGCCCAGAGCCTTTGCCTCCCTGCACCCACGGCCTCCAAGGATCTGCTGGAGAGTCCCTGGGGAGGCTTTGTCAGGAAGGGCCCTCGGGGGGCTCCTTAAGGCTTCAAGGGACTGCAGGATTTTCGGAGCAATTTGAATTTTTCTTTTGATTTTGCATTTCTGAGAGGTTTGTGCAACCATGGCCTCCAATTCTCTGCTGTAAGGAGTCCCTTGAGAGCCTCAGACAGTGACAACCCTCAGTGGGGCTCAGTAATGCTTCAAGGCACTCAAGGTTTATTAAGGTACTTTTTTTGACACTGAGCCTCTGAGAGGTTTGTTCAGTCCTGGCCTCCAATGACCTGCTCTAATTAGTCCCCTGAGAGACTCTGTCAGTTGTGACACCCAGTGGGGCTCGTTAATGCTTCAAGGGACTGCAGGGTTTTCACAGGACTTTGTGTTTTGCTTTCCACACTGAGTGTCTGAGAGGTTTGTGCAATGCTCTGCAATTACCTGCTCTAATGAGTCCCTTGAGAGGCTTTGTCAGCTGTGACACTCTGTGGGGCTCATTAATTCTTTGAAGTAGTTCAGTTTTTAAGGGCACTTTGGCTTTTGCTTTTGACACAAAGTCTGTGACAGATTTGTGCAATCGTGGCCTGCAGTGATCTCCTTCAAGGAGTCCATGAGGAGCCTGGATTGGGAATGGCCCTCAGTGGGACCCATTAATGCTTCAAGATACTTTGAGTTTCTCTTCTGACTTGGACTCATGGAAAGGTTTGTGCAATCTCCTCTCAGAGGAGAACCTCACCTGAGGTTCAAGGACTCAGCACCAAGTGCACCGTGGGGACCATGGGGCTCCTTAAAATCAATCAAGTGCTAAGAAACCACGGCTCTTCCTTGGTTTTCCTCTAGTCCAGTGCAGTTCATTAGGAAGTTATCTTAATATGGAGAAATACTTCAAAGAGGTTCTAATAAACATGCATTCTTCTTTTCAAGGGTGTAGTTTCTTACTTTTCTCCTTTGAGAAGAGTTGATTGCAGCTTCCTCTGATTGATATTGATCCAGGGTCTCTCCTAAGGAGGTTTGGACTGGTTGGAGCTTTTCCTTGAGGTCTGACACAGTGTGGACAACCTTGCTCCACATTTCCCAACCCCATCCTGTCTCTGCTCAGTCTCCTGGGTCCTGCTTTGCTCACAGAACTGGCTGCACACAGCAAAGAGGGTTTTTTCTTCTTTTTTTGCAGCAATCTGAAACTCATAAGGTTCACCTTTGGTAACAGACACTCCTCAGCTGTGAGCCAAGTCCCCGCTGCCAGCAATGAGGTTCAGCTCCCCCAAGGCAAAACCGTGCCAGAAATGGTTTAGACACCCAGGAGGTGAAATAATAAACACAAATAAAGAGTTGGAACTGGGGGGACACTTGGGGATCCTGAGGGGCACTTAAGGGGCACTTATGGGGGAGACATTTAGGGGACACTTGGGTGTTCAGGGGGACGCTTCAAGGTCGAGGGAGGGAATTTGGGGGCACTTGGGGGGAATTGGGGGCAAATATCGGGGCTCTGAGGGGCGTAGGGCATAACAGGAGTCGTAGGTGTGGGTACAAAGGGCTCTACAGGGCCACGGGGCAGGACGGGAATTGTAGGGCGAGGACAATGGGATCTATGGGGTCGCGGGGCAGGACGGGAGCTGTAGACCCGGAAGTGGCTCTAACGGGGCTCTAACTGATGTAGGGACAAAGGGACAATGATGGCAATATTCTATTTCTGCTTCTCTCCTGCCTTTAATGGTGCTCATTTACCTCCTGCGGGGGTTTTCCACCCCGTCCTTCCTCATGGAGCTTTTGGAATCGGGGCTGCTTTTGGCTGCAGCCACACCGGGGCCGCGCCGGGGCTGGATGGCTGAAGAATGGACACAGCCCTGGAACCATTGGATCTCCTGGATAATTGAAGTGCCTGTAACGGAAGGTGCACGGCCTGCCTGCCCCTCCCGCCCAGCACCAGCTCCATCTCCTGCTCCTGCCCAGCAGCTTTCCAGAAATCCAGGGCTGGGTGTGGATTGAAGGATATGGCAAGGGGCAGGATAAAGTTGCTTCATTTCCACCCTTGGTGTCTCAGTGTTTGTGATCTTGGGAATCCTCACAAACCTGGAACAATGGCAGATTATCTGCTGTCATGAGATATGTACCTGGGGATTGTTTTGATCTGTGTTTAAATCTTCCTTGAAAATACAACTGATAGAAAACAATGTAAAAAAAAAAGAAAAAGGAAAAAAAAGAAAAAAGAAAAAAAGAAAAAAGAAAGAAAAAGATAAAAAGGAGAAAAAATAAGAAAAAAAAAAGAAAAGAAAAAGAGGAAAAAAGAGAAAAGACAAAAAAGACAAAAAAGAAAAAACAGAAAGAAGAAAGAAAAAGGAAAGAAAAAGGAGAAAAGGAAAAAAAAAAGACAGGAAACCAAAAAACTAAAAACATCCTGTCCTACCTCTGTTCAACTGCAAAGGGCCGCGATGACCCGCCGCAAGGACTACAACTCCCGTGGTGCCCCGCGCAAGGCGCAGGCGCGGCGGCGGGCGTACGGGGGCGTGGCCTCGCGTTGATTGGCTACGGCGGTGTTCTCTAACGGCGGTGCGCGCGCAGAGCGCCGTGTTGGCTTCCGGCACTCGGTGATGGCGGCGCGGCCCGGCCCGCATTGTGCTGTAAGAGCTGCGGGGGGTGCGGGAGAGCGGGGTCTGGGGATCCCCTCGGGGGGTGCGGGGAGCGCGGCTGTGGGTGGAAAGGCTGGAGGGCTCGGGAGGGTTTAGCGCAGGAGTTCAGGGGTTCCTGGGGACGTTTTGAGGGGTCCCTGAGGGGGTTCGGTGTCCTGAGGGGACTCGGGGGAGGTTGAAGGTCCCTGAAGGGGTTTGGGGGTCTCTGAGGGGGTGTTGGTTTCTGAGGAGATTTAGAGGGTGCCAGGTGGGCTTTGAGGGTCTCTGATGAGGTTTGGGGTTCCTGAGGGGCTTTGTGGGGACCTTTTAGGCAGTTTTGGGGTCTCTAGGGGGTTTACGGGGTCCCAGACGATTTTGAGGGTCCCTGAGAGGGATTGGGGGCTCCCTGAATGGGCTTGGGGGGTCCCAGGTAGGTTTTGCAGGTCACTGAGAGGGTTTAGGGGGTGCTGGGGGTGGATAAGGTCTCTGAAGGGATTTGAGAGGACCTTGAGGAGGTTTCGACGGGTGGAGGGGTGGATTTCTGAGTGAATTTCAGGGGTTTTGAGGGGATTTTGGGGGGTCCCCTAAAGCCCAGCAGTGGGTTCAGGGTGTCCCCCAGCCCCTAGGGGAGGGGTCCTAGGGATGTTCCTCAAAATCTGGGGGGGGAGATATACTACATCCAGGTAAGGGAATCCCAGTGCCCCCAGTATAGCCCAGTGACCCCCTCAGTAACCACCCAGTGTGTCCCAGTGACCTCCCACTGCCCCCAAGTATGGCCCAGTGATCCTTCAGAGAGCACCCAGTAACCCCCAGTATGGCCCAGTAACCTCCCAGTGTCCCTCCGTGTGTCCTGGTAATCCCCCAGTAACTCCCCAGTTCTCTGCCAGTGACCCCCAGTGTGCCCCAGTTCCCCCCCCAGTCCCCCCTGGTTCCCCCCAGTGTGTCCCAGTATCCCCCAGTAATCACCCAGTGCCCCACAAAGCCCCTCAACTGTCCCCAACATGTCCCCAGATGCCCTTGGCCTTTCTGTGACTGGGGGGGGAGCAGAGTGTTTTAGGGGTCAGAGGGTCCAGGGGGGGCTCCTGGGGTGAGATGGAGGGTTGGGGACATCAGGGATGGGGTTTGGGGACAGTGGGGAGGGGTTTGGGGACAGTGGAATTGGGGGTGCCAAGGGGGGAATTGGAGCCATGGAGAGGCCTTGGGAACATTGGAGACACCTGGGGTGTCTCGGCGTGTCAAGGGGGG